CGGAGCCCCCACCAAAGCATTCCGGAGGGCGCGAAAAGAAGCCTCCTCCTCCGGCCCCCAATGAAACCTGACTCCCTTGGACGTCAAGGCATGCAATGGTTTCGCAATCGTAGCGAAGTCAGCCACAAATCGCCGATAATACGACGCGAACCCAATGAAACTCCTGACCTCTCCCACAGAGGTGGGAGTCGGCCAGGAGCTGACGCATTCCGTTTTGGCGGGATCAGTGGATATCCCCGAGCGCCCAACAATGTGACCCAAATATCGCACCGATTCGCGGAGTAAATGGCACTTCTGTGGTTTAAATTTCAAATTGGCAGCCCGCATTTTGAGAAAAACAGCACGCAACCTCTGGAGGTGTTCCTCGAAGGATTTGCTAAAGACGATGACATCGTCTAAGTAAATCAAACACGAATCCCATTGCAAACCTGCCAAGACCAATTCCATTAACCGCTGAAAAGTTGCCGGCGCAGAATGTAAACCCATCGGCAAGCGGTTAAATTGGAAGAGACCTTGCGGTGTCCGAAAAGCAGTCTTAGGTTTTGATTCGTCATCCAGAGGAAGCTGCCAGAATCCAGATAGCAAATCGAGGGTGGAAAAGAATCGCGCCCCCGCCAAGGCATCGAGCGACTCATCCATTCGAGGAAGCGGGTACGCATCTGCCACAGAGATTTTGTTCAGACGCCGAAAGTCGACACAAAACCGCAGTGAGCCGTCGTGTTTTTTCACCAAAACGATCGGCGCGCCCCACGGGCTGTTGGAAGGGGAAATGATATCAGCGGCTAGCATGTCATCAACAGCCGATTTGACATGATCCTTTTCGGCGGGACTCAACCGAAAGGGATTTTGGCGGATTGGCGCGCTGTCACCCGTGTCAATATGGTGTCGCAGCAATTTAGTACAACCAATATCAAATTTGTGTTGACTAAAAACGTCAGCAAATTCGCTCAGAAGAACTCGCAGCTGCGCGCGCTGCGAGTCGGACAGGTCCACTGAACCCGCGCAAAGCGCATCCAGCCATCCGTCATCACAGTCCGAATGCGGTCGCGACGGGGGATCGGTGGATACCTGACCCACGAGTGGTTCCTCATAGGGTACCGGCGTTGCGTGTGCAAGCACGGTCCCTTGAGGAACCATGGCCGTTCGCGATCCCACATTAAGGACTGCAATGAAGGGGTCCCCATCCCCTCTCACCATGGTCTGAGCCGCGAGCAAATCGGGTCCATTTACCCCGGCCCGAGATGGTCCCAACAAGACCCCCCGATCCGCAACCCCTTCATTAAACGGCCGACGCAACCTAAGAGGGACGAGCATCTGAGCCCCCGGAGGCACGCGCACAGTTTTTGTGACGAGCGCCTGCACGGTGGCAAACGCCCGACGCTCCGTGGTGGGGGAAGACAGAAATGTAACGCGTCGGCCCGATGGGAGCTCAATGCACCCTTGGTCAATAAGGATGCGGATGGGCATTTTGGCCAGAAAATCCGCCCCCAACAGGCACGGAACCGCGAGTGAGGAGGAAACCAAAACAGGCCCGGATAATTTAATGTCCCCAATGCAGATAGTGGCGCGGATTTGGCCAATAATGCCCAGAGAGCCCCCGTTAGCGGCATAGCACGGCACGTCAACAGGGAGCAAGGGACGACTTTGAACGGGAAGGATGTTATAAATTAAATCAGATATAATGGTCGCCGATGCCCCTGTGTCAATTAAAATCCGCACCTCTACCCCATCAATGTGACCGACCACGACCGATGATCCCGCCGACGCAGCAACGACACGATGGGCGAGCTCCGACCACTGACCCGGTTGGAGCGCCCGCCGCATTACCGAACAATCGCGCGCGACGGATGGGGAATTTGGAGCCCTGTTTAGTTGGGCGCGTGAGTGTGTGTCGGATGTGTGCGTGGGCCAAACGTGTGAGGTGCCGCGACTCGCCGTATTTCTCTGCTGGAGCTTGGGAGGAGACGGCGTGGCGTCCTGACGAGGTGTCACCCCGCACTGACGGGGAGCCCGGCATCCTGACGCAACGTGGCCTTGCAGGCCACAGTTGTAGCAGCCTGTGGTGCTGCCGCTCTCCATTCCCCTCGCCGCTCCACCCCGCAGACCTCCTCCGATGGGAGGGCGGTAGCCGCCATGGCATGGCTGGCCGCCCCCTTTGCCGCCTTTCGACGAAGGGACCGCAAGCCCCCGTGGATGTGGCGCGCGACCAGCAGGGACGACATCTCCGCGTCGTCTTGAGCCAGGACGTTGACGTCCAGCTCATCAGCGAGTAGCAGCAGCTTCTCAGCCACCATGGCATCCACTCCTTCCTCGTCCATCCTTGGGAAAGCAGCCTTCGCTAGAGCCAGGAGAGCAGTCCGGAAGGCCAGAGGTGATTCGTTGGTGCCCCGACGCCGATCGTGGAAAAGCTGCCTGCAGTCCGAAGGCGGCCCATAGACGGCTGACAGCAGCTGCAACGCCAGGTGTAGGGTGGCGCGCTTTTCCCTCGGCGCCGAGGTGAGGGTAGCCAGGGCGTCGTTGTCCAGCATCGCTGGCAGCGCGCGTAGAGCCTCGGCGTCCGTCCAGTTCGCCATCTCCTGATGAGCGATGAACCGCCTCTTGAAGCCGCCCCAGTCTCCGTCTGCGCCTACGAATTCTTTCAGAGGCGGCAGACGCTGCTGCAAGGCGACGTCCGTGGCTGTAGATCGCTCTCCGTCGCTCCCCGCCGATGATACAGTGTGGGCGGGCTGTGCACATGGCATCGCCGGTCGCTCCGATGTTGACGCGCCGGCCGGTGTTGATGATGTCACGGCTTGTGCTTGGCGCTCAGCAGTCACGTGACGCGGGCCGGCCCCGCCGTCCGCTCGCACTGTAGAGATGGCGGGAAATTTAACCGCCAGCCGCGTCGGGGTGGCGGGAAACGTCGCCGCGCGCCGGCTGCTGTCGTCGACCCGCGCTGGCCCTCCAGCCCCCAGCCGCGTGATCTCCTCCAACGCAGCGGCGGCGGCGTAGAGCAGTTCCGCCAGGCGGGAGTGGGCCAGCCGGAGTCCTTCAGCCGACGCATCCCCCCCCTCTTGTCGTAGCGGCGCGGGCGTACTTGGCCCCGGCTGCTCCGATCCGACCCCGGCCATCTCTGGTGTTGAATCGGCCGCGGCGTCTTCCATCTCCGACTCCTTGGTACGTGTCGTCCCTCGTGTGTCCATCGTTTGGACGTTTTACTTCTGACACCAGATGTAGTAACTATATGGAGGCTTGACGACAGGATCGGAGGCACACTTATTTATTACACCAACACAGTTATTACAGGTCACTGGGCTACAAGGATTTCTCGACAGCTAACCCCTCTAACCTATACCAATTCCTCCACTACGGGACTAGGGGAGGCTATCTGTCCCAGCTTGGTTAAGCTGGGATCCCGGCTCCCTGAGTCACCAGACCAGCTTCGTCTGGGCTCTCGGGGCCACGCCACCGGCTTGCCCTGGTTGACCCTTATAAGGACAGCGAGCCAGGGGAGCTCTGGGGCCTACACTAGCAGGTCTTCCGTCTTCTCTGGTTATAGCTGAGTCCCGACTCCCGAGCCTTTCGGCTCATCACCTTTTATAGGATTTGCCCCCAAGGGGGGGGCCCGTGGGGGATACACATGCGGACGTCGGTGCGAGCGCCACCCTTGTGTACGGCCGTAACCCCGCCCCTTGTGTTTGTTGGCCATCCGTGGCCATGCATAATCACACCTCAACATTCGTAGACATGCGCAATTACACCTCTACACAGACAACACGCGCCACGGTGGCTAGGAGATGTTGACTACCTCGCCTGGTGTACAGGAGGTCGTGGGTTCGATCCAGACCCCGACACCTGCTGCTGTATATTTGGAGTTTGCGTGTCTCTCTCTCATCATCATCACGGTGGCTAGGAGATGTTGACTACCTCGCCTGGTGTGCAGGAGGTCGTGGGTTCGATCCCGACCCTGACGCCTGCTGCTGTATATTTGGAGTTTGCGTGTCTCTCATTATCATTACGGTGGCTAGGATATGTTAACTACCTCGCCTGGTGTGCAGGAGGTGGTGGGTGCGATCCAGACCCTTACGCCTGCTGCTGTGTATTTGGAGTTTGCGTGTCTCTCATCATCACGGTGGCTAGGAGATGTTAACTACCTCGCCTGGTGTACAGGAGGTCGTGGGTTCAATCCCGACCCTGACGCCTGCTGCTGTATCTTTGGAGTTTGCGTGTCTCTCTCTCTCATCATCATCGCGGTGGCTAGATGTTAACTACCTCGCCTGGTGTACAGGAGGTCGTGGGATCGATCCCGACCCTGATGCCTGCTGCTGTATATTTGGAGTTTGCGTGTCTCTCTCGCTTTCATCATCATCGCGGTGGTTAGATGTTAGCTCCCTCGCCTGGTGTACAGGTCGTGGGTTTTATCCCAACCCTGACGATGCCTGCTGTATATTTGAAGTTTGCGTGGCTCTCTCTCATCATCGCGGTGGCTAGTAGATGATGACTACCTCGCCCGGTATACAGGAGGTCGTGGGTTCCATCCCGACCCTGACGATGCCTGCTGTATATTTGGAGTTTGCGTGTCTCTCTCTCATCATCATCACGGTGGCTAGATGTTGACTACCTCGCCTGGTATACAGGAGGTCGTGGGTTCGATCCCGACCTTGACGCCTGCTGCTGTGTATTTGGAGTTTACGTGTCTCTCATCATCATCACGGTGGCTAGATGTTAACTACCTCGCCTGGTATACAGGAGGTCCGTGAGTTCGATCCAGACCCGGACACCTCCTGCTGTATATGTGGAGTTTGCGGTGTCTCTCTCTCTCTACCTGTGGTCGCGTGGATTTTGCCTCCGGATCCTGCGGTTTTTCCCTCCGCATGTTACAAACACGGCATTTGGAGTCTTTTGCCTGCTAGAGATGCCCACGTGATGACAAGCAACTTCGCCGATCGATTGTTCGTGGCCGGTTCGCTTCTGAAGAAAAAAAGCGACACGCAGCTCACCTGGTAAAATAAAAACAAGTTTATTTTTAGTTTATAACTTAAAGAAACCGCTCGGCACGTTCGTCAATAACACGGCGGCCTAAAAATATACACTTGTACGAAGCTGCAGTGGCCGTAATAAATCGGTCCTTTCTAAGAGCACACGGCGTCTTCATGAGCGCTGCACGTGCCTCTCGCCGTAGCAGCATCGCCAAAGAATTCGGTTTAATTTGCAGCAACGAGGGTACATTTGAAAACGAACAAAACAATGCAAATGTGGAACGATCCAATATTCAGGGGGTCGCCTGGCTCTGTGAAGGATGCACTTTCACGTGGCGGTTTGAGACAGCGCTTTTGAGAGATGTTACGTCTCCCCCAGCCTGGCACGCAAGGGTACCGGTGGGTTCGAACCCGAACCCCGAGGATGCATGGAGACAGCGTCTCTGTGGGATTTCTTTTGTTGTTGCCAATATCAAAATGATGAAAAAAAAGAAGAGGCCTTACCCTTGCAGTCAATAAAACAGGAGGTGTGAAGATGGAGGAAACGTGCGTGGAGTTGTGTGTGCGTGTGTGGAGTTGTGTGTGTGGAGTTGTGTGTGTGTGGAGTTGTGTGTGTGTGGAGTTGTGTGTGTGTGGAGTTGTGTGTGTGTGGAGTTGTGTGTGTGTGGAGTTGTGTGTGTGTGGAGTTGTGTGTGTGTGGAGTTGTGTGTGTGTGTGGAGTTGTGTGTGCGTGTGTGGAGTTGTGTGTGTGGAGTTGTGTGTGTGGAGTTGTGTATGTGCATGGAGTTGTGTGTGGAGTTGTGTGTGCGTGTGCATGGAGTCGTGCGTGCGAGCGTGGAGTTGTGTGTGCGTGTGTGGAGTTGTGTGTGTGTGGAGTCGTGTGTGCGTGTGTGGAGTCGTGCGTGCGTGGAACCGCGTGAAGTCGTGTGTGCGTGTGTGGAGCCGCGTGGAGCCGTGTGTGCGTGCGTGCGTATGCGATCCGTTCCTAATTGCGTGTGAGCACGCGTCCCACTGAGGCTCACGGGTTGGGACCAAAACGAGCACAAGGGGGAGGCACAGAGGAAACAGCCGAGGTAGACGGGGCAGATGTGACGGTGCCCAACAGGGACGAGGAATTACTGACAACACGGTGCGGATTCACTGCAGACGGTACCGCAGATGAGGCAGAGAGACAGGAAGACTTGCACACCACAGCACAAACGAGATGGCGAGCGACGACGAATTTAAATTACATTCTTACGCCCAATACAAACGAGATGCCGCCCGGAATGGGAGGGAGCGGGGTTCGGGTCCGGGAGCGCGGTTCAGGCCGTCGCGGTTCAGGCCGTCGTTGCCGGCGTGTGGGGGAACCACCACGGCTCTGTTGCTCCCCAGGGGGCCCAGCGCTCCCCTGACGGAGAGAGCGCGGAGAGGCACGGAACCGATGGGCGAGCGCCCGATTGCCTCCCGGCACGTCGGCCCCCCTGTTCCCGGCTTCCTCCTCCTCCTCCGTTCAATCGCAGCGGTGGCCGACTCCAGCCCCCAGTGGCGGGGGGCCAGGAGCCGTGGGGGGGGGGGGGGGGCTGGGGGGCCTGGGCCGCACGCCCCCCCCCCCGCCGCTCTCAGCTCAAGGAGCACACGGTGCTGGGTCTCAGCTCGCGCTGAGACCTCTGGACCCGCCGGCGGTTGGCCTCCAGGTAAACGTCGCGGACGAACTTGCCGGCCGACAGGGGGATGCTGCAGGGGAGAGGGGGGGGGCAGAGGGGTTCGGGGGGGGGGTTGGCAGAGACGAGACCCGACAGCCGCACGCGCACACACACACACGTGCGCGCTCGCACAAGCACACACATGCGTGCTTGCACGCACATACACACGATGGCACACAAAGACAAAGATCCCCCGTGAAATGCTGTTGGGGCAAGTGCTGTTAGCGAGCACCCATGAAGGCCGGCACGGCATACAAGGCGGTGGGTGGCCAGCACCACGCCCTTTGTCTCCCCAGTGGCGATGTTTACACCGCACCGGGTATTCATTTGAGGCTGATTCGACCTAGAAGATGCCCAGGACCGGTTCGGATAATCGTCACCGGTGTTGGCCGTGAGCCCGAATCGAACTTGGGTCGCCGGGTTCGTAGTGCTAACCGCTACACTCCTGCTCCCCACACACGCACAAAAAACAAAAGACCCATCATATAGAGCCTCTGCCAGATTGTTGGGTAAAGCGCTGTTAGCGAGTAGCACCTATGAAGGCCCGGCACTGTGGCACACGAGGGGATGGGTGGCCAACACCATACCCGGCCGCCTTTGTCTCCTCAGTGGCGATGTTTACTCCACACTGCACCGGGTGCTCCGATGAGCACGGTTGCCTACGTACGATGCGAGAGAATTTCAACACACACACCAATACCGATACCCGCCATTCGCCACTAAGTGGCGGTGACGTCACCACGACGCTTGTGCCAGGCCATGTGCACCTTGAGGCCACGTGAAGTGTCGAACGCCCGCTGGCAGGAGGTCACGGGGCAGACCCAGGTGCCACGGGTCGACTGACCGAGATGACCGAGATGACTGGCTGATGCACCACCTGTGCCCCCTACTGTACCAACTTGCTGTGCTTTAGCCACCCAGCGCTCCACTCGTTGTTGTGAGCGTCGCTCCTCCGCCCTCCGTTGTTGTTGGAGGGCGACTGCCTCCAACTGCCCAGCAGCGTCCTTCACGAGCCTCCTCCACAGAGGCCGATCTTGACACCGCTGGTACCAGTCATCGGCAAGTCCACTCAGCTCCACGTCCTCCTGTACCACATCACTCCATCTCTTCTCTAGCCCGTGCCACGCCCGTTTAGCCCCCTCGATCCGGCCGAACAGAAGCTATTTAGGCATGCGGTGGTTGGGCATGCGGGCTACATGACCCAGCCAACGCAGCCTTGCCTGCCGGAGGCGCTCACCGATGAGACTTTGCCCAGATTTTTCAAGGATTTGTGAGCTCCTCACACAATCCAGCCTGGTTAAACTCAGGATGGATCGTAGGCACACACACACACACGCGCACACACGCGCGAGCGACCGCGCACTCCACACGCACGGACTCACTTATCTCGGCCGGGCCTCAGCTTGACGCTGTACAGTGCGAAGACGGGACGGTGGTCGGACGTGCGGATGGAGCGGCAGGAGGTGTAAAGCAGCGAGTTCACCTCGCCCGGCACGCGCGCCCGGCACAGCACGCGGTCCTGCACCGCCACGCCCAGCCGCACACACCGTGACCCCCAGCCTGAACCACCGTGACACACAGCCTGAAACACCATGACCCACGACCTGAACCACCGTGACCCACCGTGACCCACGACCTGAACCACCCAGATCCACCGTGACCCACGACCTGAACCACCCAGACCCCCCATGACCCACGACCTGAACCACCGTGACCCCCCGTGACCCACGACCTGAACCACCGTGACCCCCCGTGACCCACGACCTGAACCACCCAGACCCCCCGTGACCCACGACCTGAACCACCCAGACCCCCGTGACCCACGACCTGAACCACCCAGATCCCCCGTGACCCACGACCTGAACCACCCAGACCCCCGTGACCCACGACCTGAACCACCCAGATCCCCCGTGACCCACGGCCTGAACCACCCAGACCCACCGTGACCCACGACCTGAACCACCCAGACCCCCCGTGACCCACGACCTGAATCACCGTGACCCACCGTGACCCACGACCTGAACCACCCAGACCCACCGTGACCCACGACCTGAACCACCCAGACCCCCCATGACCCACGACCTGAACCACCGAGACCCACCGTGACCCACGACCTGAACCACCGTGACCCCCCGTGACCCACGACCTGAACCACCACCCAGACCCACTGACCGTGTAGGAGGGGACGCGCTTCTTGGCGGAGCTGTCGAAGGTGTCGGCTCCCACGTCGTACTTGTAGGTGGGCGGGAACAAGATGAGCGCCTCGCTGAAGCCACGGAACACGGAGCCTGGGGGGGGTGAGGGCCGCGGTCGGGGGGAGGGTGGGGGGGGAGAGACAGAGGGGGGGAGGGGGGGATAGACGGGGGAGGGGGGGGCAGGGGGAGAGAGAGAAGAAGTCAGCTGGGACAGAGACCACTTTGCTCTCCCGTGCTGGCGGCGGTGGGTGGTGGTGACGGTGTGGAGATGTAGTGGGGATGCTGGTGGTGGTGATGGTGGCTGTTGACGGTGGTGGGTGTTGACAGTGGTGGTGATATGGTGGTGATGCTGGTGTTGATCGCGATGGTGGTGGTATCTGTGGTGATAGTGGTGGCGGTGGTGGCGGTGGTGGCGGTGGCGGCGGTGGTGGCGGTGGCGGCGGTGGTGGCTGTAGCGGCAGTGGTGGCTGTGGTGGTGTCGGCGGCGGTGGTGGCGGTGATGGCGGTGGTGGCTGTAGCGGCAGTGGTGGCTGTGGTGGTGGCGGTGGCTGTAGCGGCGGCGGTATTGTCAGCGTTGTGGGCTGCGGCGCCGTGTGTCTCACGCACCGTCGCGCAGCTTGGGCGTGAGCTGGTCGTGTGCGAGCAGCCGGTCGAGGTCGCCGTGGGCGCCGCTCTGCGCCAGCGCCTCGGCCTCGGCGCGCTCTAGCTCCAGGCGGAAGTTGAGGTCCCCGCACCAGAAGACGACGTCAAAGCGGCTCGTCACGTCCGCTGGGCGGGAGACATCGTCGTCGAGACAAAGATCCCCCGCGTAGCCTCAACAGACCGTAGGGGCAAGTGCTGTTAGCGAGCAGCATCTATGAAGGCCGGCACGGCACACGAGGTGGTGGGTGGCCGGCACCACGCCCGACCGCCTTTGTCTCTCCAACGGCGATGTTTACTATGCACCGCACCGGGTACTGATTTGAGGCCGAGTCGACCTTGGGGAGGCCCGGGACCGGTTCAGATAATCGTCACCGGTGTTGGCCGTGAGCGGAAATCGAACTCGGGTCGCTGGCTTTGCAGCACAGCGTAGCGCTAACCGCTACACTACCCCTACCCCACGTACACACACGCACGCACACAGGCACTGTGGCCGTCTGGAACGCTCCTTCCGATATTAGGAAGCCACTGAAGCTACGCAGTTTTACATCATCATCTCGATTGACAAACTCGCGTCTCTGGAACCGCTGATTTGTGTTTTTAGTTCGTCGTCCGTCCACCGCACCTCCAATTAGCGCGGTTGGCTAAGTACGGCGTGAAAGAAATTCAACATACAGGGAGGGGTGTGCTGTAGCTATGTGTAGCTGTGTGTAGCTGTAGCTGTGTGTAGCTGTAGCTGTGTGTAGCTGTGTGTAGCTGTAGCTGTGTGTAGCTGTGTGTAGCTGTGTGTAGCTGTAGCTGTGTGTATCTGTAGCTGTGTGTAGCTGTAGCTGTGTGTAGCTGTGTGTAGCTGTAGCTGTGTGTAGCTGTGTGTAGCTGTAGCTGTGTGTAGCTGTAGCTGTGTGTAGCTGTAGCTGTGTGTAGCTGTGTGTAGCTGTAGCTGTGTGTAGCTGTGTGTAGCTGTAGCTGTGTGTAGCTGTAGCTGTGTGTAGCTGTGTGTAGCTGTGTAACTGTGTGTAGCTGTGTGTAGCGTGTAGCTGTGTGTAGCTGTGTGTAGCTGTGTAGCTGTAGCTGTGTGTAGCTGTGTGTAGCTGTGTAGCTGTAGCTGTGTGTAGCTGTGTGTAGCTGTGTAGCTGTAGCTGTGTGTAGCTGTGTAGCTGTAGCTGTGTGTAGCTGTGTGTAGCTGTAGCTATGTGTAGCTGTGTGTAGCTGTAGCTGTGTGTAGCTGTGTGTAGCTGTAGCTGTTTGTAGCTCTGTGTAGCTGTGTGTAGCTGTGTGTAAGCTGTGTGTAGCTGTAGCTGTGTGTAGCTGGAGCTGTGTGTAGCTGTGTGTAGCTGTGTGTAGCTGTAGCTGTGTGTAGCTGTGTGTAGCTGTAGCTGTGTGTAGCTATGTGTAGCTGTGTGTAGCTGTAGCTGTGTGTAGCTGTGTGTAGCTGTAGCTGTGTGTAGCTGTAGCTGTGTAGCTGTAGCTGTGTGTAGCTGTGTGTAGCTGTAGCTGTGTGTAGCTGTGTGTAGCTGTAGCTGTGTGTAGCTGTGTGTAGCTGTGTGTAGCTGTGTAATGTAGCGTGTGTGCGCTGTGTAGCTGTGTAGCTGTAGCGTGTAGCTGTAGCTGTGTGTAGCTGTGTGTAGCTGTAGCTGTGTGTAGTGTGTGTAGCTGTGTGTAGCTCTGTGTAGCTGTGTGTAGCTGTGTGTAGCTGTAGCTGTGTGTAGCTGTATGTAGCTGTGTGTAGCTGTAGCTGTGTGTAGCTGTGTGTAGCTGTAGCTGTGTGT